TCGTGGTAAAATAGCTCGTTAATCCAATCGCCAAACCCTCTGTTTATGAAAGAAAACGGTTTACAAACGACTCACAAATGATTTCGTTCGAACATTTCCGGAACAAGTGCATCACAGATGAATTTTGTTCGAACCACAACGCTGTAAATGCTTCACCCACGTACTACAAATACAAATAATCGCCAACAGAACCTAAACACCTAACCTAACATACGCCTAACTATACATTGAATTTGTATGTGTATTAACTTATACATAATATTCATTTATATATGAGAACAAACCAATGTTAATACACAGTATTTTAAAATTTATGAATGCGTCTGGGGAGGACGGCCGCCGCTTTAACCAGCCTCGTGTGAGGACGGGTTAGCTAAAGAATATTGGTAGATTTTTTAACATTTTATTTTATATTTTATATTTATTATATTTTTACCTTTAGTATTTTTTATTAGATTTTTAATGTCAGTCGCTATGAAGTATTTTTCTAAGATTTGTAAAAAAATTTTGTTGAGAAATTGTGTTTTCTGTTTTTAACACTAATGATGAAGTATATGCTCTGAAATGTTTGTTTTGAAATATGTATGTGTATATATATATATATATATATATATATATATATATATATATATATATATATATATATATATATATATATATAATATATATATATATAATATAAGCTGAACTAAAATATATCATGATAATTAGCTGGGATATAATGAAAATAAACTGAAATATGATGACAAAACGCTGGGAATCGAACGCCGACTCTGTAAGAAGCGAAGCCGTTGCTCTACCGACCAGTCCAACTGACTGGAGCTCAGTGATTGCTCAAGCAACAGCTAAGCATCAAGAAAGTCCCAAGAAGCGTGTCTCACTGGACCTTACCACTAAAGCGAAGAAAACAAAAAGCAGAAGAAGGTCTGCGCCCGCCTGTCCTCGCGTCAACATGGGCAGGAGAAACTGACGAAGACCTCCAGGGACGGTCCAGTGAGGACCCACACTCAACATGGAAAGACGAGTACGCGGAGGGAGCAAGGCACCTGGCCCAACCACTTCCGTCGAGGCCAGCAAGCTGCTCAGGCTGGTGTGATAAGAATAGCGTGGTCCATCTGGCTCAGCGAGGTCTTCCGTCCTAGGTCACGGAAACTTCAAGAAGCGCAGATTGCAGACTAAATAGCTCAAACTCTCGAACATATGAAATTGACGACGTTTCGGTCCATCCTGGACCCTTATCAAGTTGTGACGACGTTTTGGTCCGTCGTGGACGCATATCAAGTCGTGACGACGTTTCGGTCTGTCGTGGACCCTTATCAAGTCGTGACGACGTTTCGGTCAGTCGTGGACGCTTCACATATCGTGGTAGTGACTGATGGACTAATTTGATTGCTCCGAATGTGACTGTCAGTAGACACTCGTGATTTAAATTATATTTGTCAAAAGCTGATGGGTGTTGATGTGAGCTGGAAGATGAAATGTGTAAATGGGTAGGAGGAGAAGGAGGTGGAAGACGAGGAGGAATAGGAGGAGGAGGAATAGTTATGTTCCATAGTGGGAGAAAGTTAATAAATAATCAATCAGGCAGAGAAAAAATGGGAAGTAGATGGAGTATAAGAAGAAGGAAGAGTGTGGAAATGGCAATGAGGAAAATCCTCACTGTACTGTTGGTAAGTAATATGATCACCTCTCCACACTGCCCTGCATGACAGTGAATATGATCACCATCCTCCCTATAATAAGAACTAACTGAATTACTGACCTTAGGCAAAATTTAATGAAAGTTATGTAAATATATAACAATGAAATAATGAAATGTGACGTTACTTACAGGATCACGACGTTATTTGATGTTAAACAGGAACAACGAAGCTAAAGTCAACTCACTAATAAAAGGAGGATCTTTAAGGAATGTCTAACTCAATGACTCCAGGTCTGTCATCTATATCTAGTATGATTATGTTGGAGTGATCAAAAATCTATTATTACTATTGTTTAGTTCGTATAGCTAGCTGATGGGTCCACCTATCTCGTCTCGCTGTGGCGTCCCTTCCACAAACTCAGCAATAATCTCTTTCTCTTCCTCTCTCTGTCCCTCTTTGCTAATCCCCGCTCCCCCCCCTCCCCTTCCATTCCAAGACCTTCGCTTTATTATTACTGTCCGCCTTACCGTGTCGGCCAGAACATTAAGGTCAAGCGTGATGGATCAAAGTTCGAATGATGTCCTGTTCCGCCCCCGTCCCACACCTCATCCCGTCCCTTCCGTATCTGCCTGTCTCGTCCCACTTTCCATTCCATTTTGTAGGGGGTCAGAGTCACAGCCTGCCTCGTTCCACGCCTCGTCCCGACCCGGCAATTAGGGTTCCGTATTTGCCTGTCCCATTCCATCCCGTGGTTTTTCTCGATCCATATTAATCATCCCCCATCCCACTTCCCCTCCCTTTCTGTCACGTATCTTTCCGTTCTGTCGAGTTGTACTGCGCCAATTTCCGATTGATATCGTAGCTTTTCGTTTTCTCCAAGTCCTTTTACTCTTTCCCTTTCGTCTCATTTCATTCCATATCGTATAGTTCCATCACCTACCTGCTCCATCTATATGCCATAATGTCAGTTATGGCATATAGATGGAGCTTCCCTAACGCTTCCCCCTTCCTCTAATTCTTCGTTCATCTAATAAATACTGTTGATATATTTTGGGGACTTTACGAGAAACGTGTGAAATCAGAGAGAGAGAGAAAATAAATCGACTCTGCAGTGGCCTTCACCACTACACATTGTAAATGTTGAACCTCTGAACTGAAGGACTCGAGTCACTCATCAACTTTTAAAGCAAGATTGTTGAGTCTCTAACAGTCCAGAGGTACACGGCTGTCGTGACAAACATCTTCACAAGGTTTACAGCATTTTAAAATTATTTTGTGCAGCTGCACATGTCTTACTGTCTAGTTATTGCTTCACTGTCTAGTTATTGCCTCACTGTCTAGTTATTGCCTCACTGTCAAGTTATTGCCTCACTGTCTAGTTTTTGCCTCACTGTCTAGTTATTGCCTCACTGTCTAGTTATTGCCTCACTGTCAAGTTATTGCCTCACTGTCTAGTTATTGCCTCACTGTCAAGTTATTGCCTCACTGTCAAGTTATTGCCTCACTGTCAAGTTATTGCCTCACTGTCAAGTTATTGCCTCACTGTCAAGTTATTGCCTCACTGTCAAGTTATTGCCTCACTGTCAAGTTATTGCCTCACTGTCTAGTTATTGCCTCACTGTCAAGTTATTGCCTCACTGTCAAGTTATTGCCTCACTGTCTAGTTATTGCCTCACTGTCTAGTTATTGCCTCACTGTCTAGTTATTGCCTCACTGTCAAGTTATTGCCTCACTGTCTAGTTATTGCCTCACTGTCAAGTTATTGCCTCACTGTCTAGTTATTGCCTCACTGTCTAGTTATTGCCTCACTGTCAAGTTATTGCCTCACTGTCAAGTTATTGCCTCACTGTCTAGTTATTGCCTCACTGTCAAGTTATTGCCTCACTGTCAAGTTATTGCCTCACTGTCAAGTTATTGCCTCACTGTCTAGTTATTGCCTCACTGTCTAGTTATTGCCTCACTGTCTAGTTATTGCCTCACTGTCAAGTTATTGCCTCACTGTCTAGTTATTGCCTCACTGTCAAGTTATTGCCTCACTGTCTAGTTATTGCCTCACTGTCAAGTTATTGCCTCACTGTCAAGTTATTGCCTCACTGTCAAGTTATTGCCTCACTGTCAAGTTATTGCCTCACTGTCAAGTTATTGCCTCATTGTCTAGTTATTGCCTCACTGTCAAGTTATTGCCTCACTGTCAAGTTATTGCCTCACTGTCTAGTTATTGCCTCACTGTCTAGTTATATGGCTTGGCAAATGTCTCGTTGTTTAGAAGTTGCAAAATACAATCGATTTTACTCACGAACGTTTTAAGAACATAAGAATAGTGGAAACTGCAAAAGGCCTGTTGGCCCCGGCGAGGCGGCTACTGTTTTTACCCAATCAGTCAATCAGTTTGGTATTACGCCAAGGGAAAATGCCGTTATACAAGACTCGTTAAGTACAGAACGCTACAGCCCAAGTTCCGCTTGCAGCGGCGCAGTTGCAACTCCTTAATAACATATTGAAAAGGTTAAGGGAAAAAAATGTGAGATGAAAAAACTGGATCTAGCTTGACCATTTCCTCATTGAGTGCTGGAGTTGTGGGTAGGCACTGGATGGGGTGTTATTGGGGGGAGGGGGGTGGGGAGAGGGGTGCTTGGTGTGGTAATGGGGGGGGGGAATGGGGGTGCGCCCTTGACATTTGACGGTCCCGTCTCGTTCCCTCTCATCTGTGGGGGAGGTGACCTCGAGCTCTCTCTCTTGCCCAGGGAACGTGTGCCTGTTCCCTCGCCTGATTGGGGCATCTCACCAGGTATCCACTGCTCATTAACACAAAGGACACAGGTGCGTGCTAGCTGGCCTTCCCGGATAGACGGTCCAGGTAGCGACGCTCATTAGTTCACCTTGTTAACGAAAAAAAGCAGTCTAGCTTAGTTTGTGTTAATATTCATATCGTCAGACACGAGAGAGTTTGCCTCGCTGCTGTGTGAATTTTAATCAAGTGTTCTACTTGTCTCAGTGGGCTACGTTGTCTGTGCTATACTCCAGGGGCTGAGTTAATGTGTTTCCAGGCCAGACTTGCAAGAGGAAGTCTAGACAGGGTCTGTATGCTCATGGGACTATCCTCTCTATGCAACGAGGGAATACGAATGATTTTTCTGACATGTTTCATCAAACGTCCTTGGAAGATATCTGGGTGCGGTTCTTACATGTTTTTTTGTTCGCATCCCGTTACCTGTTGATCTGGCCACCTCAGGTGTGCGCCGGGTACAGCAAGGTTAATTATTCTACTAACTTTCCACCTTCATTTTTGTACATAGTAAATTTAAATTAAATATTACCCCGAGAGGCGAGTTTATGTAGGATAGTAAGATGGTGATGTACAAAAGGAGGAATCTTTTATTAAATCATTTAGTCTCTACAAGAGGCAAAATATAATTTTATAATAGACTGTACAAACCCCGACGCCTTCTCACACCGCTTGCAAGGAGGATACGAACCCGCTTGATGTTCTTTCCAGGTTAAGCACGGCTGGGTAGTCGAACCTGTGTGGCGATGGGGTGGGCTCTTGGTGGAAAGCTGGGGCATGTGAGGGTATAATTGGGGTGGGTGTGGGTATGAAGTGTCCCTGGGCATGCAGGGCAGGGGCTGGGGCTCTAACGGGGGCAGGGGCATGGACGGGAGCAGGGACGTGGACTGGAGCGGGGACGTGGGGTACAGCTGGAACCTCGGGTACAACGGGTACAGGCCTGGAGCGTGCTACAGGTCTAGGGGCTACGGGTCTAGGGGCAGCGGGTCTAGGGGCTGCGACAGGTTCCGGATTGGATCCCCCGTGTGCCCTCAGATTACCAAGACCCTCCTGGTTCAAGCCCTCTACCCCGATGACCTCGTAGCCGATGCCTTGACCTGCCCTCCACAGCACCTTGACGCGATTGCCATCATCTTGAACGTAAGAATAGAATCCGTACAGGTTTCCGTCAGGGCCGAACTTCTGACCGGAGGTCGTTCCGTCCTCCTGAGCGAGTTCGTGGCCGAAATTGCTGCCGTCCTGGTACGACTCGAATGAGAGAATCTTGGTGAAGGTGTTATCCCGGGCGCCCTGAGGCAGAGCCAAGGCCGTTCCGGCAAGCACCACAATCACTACCTGAGGGAGAAAAAGCAAATGATAAGTAAGTGCTACTTAATAATTACATGGCAGAGCGGAAGTCCATAGTCACCTGAGACTGAGGGATGCCTACTACTATTACTTATTAATGCCAGGGAACTTCAGGTATAAAATAAATGTCAGAAAATCATGTACACAGTACTAAGGGGAATGCAATATCCAACACATACAACTGAAAATTAAGAAATGACGTTTCGGTCCGTCCTGAATCATTATCAAATGTGTGGGTCTGTAAGATCATCTGCAAGTACAACTAGCATATCGGAGAACATCAAGACAGACTATACAAGAGTTGCAAGTGATGTTAAGATACACAACTGTTGCGTAGTGATATATGAAGAGCTTCAGACCACATAGGGAGCAGTGTACAGGTGTCAGTGGGAAAGAAAGTGAATATTTGATATAATTAAAAGGAAGAAATGACAGTGATGTGAAGATTCACATCTTGAAGAAGTGAAAGTGACACTGAAAATCGAAGTGTGGCGTAGTGTAGAAGAGAAAGTGTACACGAAATCTTTCACTGAAACCCGACGTCCGTCGCTGGACATTTGTTTCTGAAGAAGAGATAACCCAGAATCAACTAATCTAAGAAACGACACAACATTTCCCTAAATACAGAAAAATGGTATTGATTGGACAAAATAATTTAAGTTAATGAAATTAATCTCAAGCATGAAACCGGAATGAGAAAATGGGTTCTCTTTTTTTTACAAGTTGACATATGCAATTCTCAAAAAATGAAATGAAAATTCAGAGGATTAATCAATTATATAAGAACATGACAATTAAATAATTGGGTGTGATTAAAAGGTAATCATATTTGACCTGAAAAAGAGCGTCTGAATAGCCCCTGAGTCTGCAACTAAAACACTCATTAAAGGTAAAAATTGAGTGCTTAGCAATAAATAAATCTGATTTATGCAATCAGGTAAATGTCCTATGTGTGATGTGTTGTGTTTGGCAAACGTGTAGTCGTGGCAATGGTCGTGTTCAACCATGGTACATAAAACACAAGAATAACAGCGAAGAGAACACTGGTGTTCGCCTCAAAATATATAGCTAAAGTTGCAAAAAGTTCACAATAAAACCTTTGTGGCAAAAAGAGCATCAAAATGAGATAAATAAGATCTACAGCATCCAGGATCTGAGTCAGATGCCTTACATGGAACAAAGATTGAAAAGTTATGAGCCAAGGTAATTAATTTCTCGTCACAGGTACTTATTGAAGAGAGGTAAAGAGGGACTTACAAGCTGTCTCATTCTTGCTGGCTCGAATTCTGCGGGTTGACTGGCGGCGGGTCTGCCAGGAGGGCCTTATATACCCAGGGTACAGGTGACGTCAGGGCCAACAGGTCTGGCCAAGGGTATATTGTCCGGGCCCCGTGGATGCCCCACCAAGCCAGCTGCCACAGTTGCTACTGTCGAATTAGAACAAGTGGGTCTTGATGACTATTGAGACTAAACTTCGGATTAATCCTCCAATTGTGTCGTCATCACTCTGATGCTCGGAGTGTGGTCTTGTCATTCACACACTGAATGTTCGGTCTTGTCATTCACACACTGAATGTTCGGTCTTGTCGTTCACACACTGAATGTTCGGTCTTGTCATTCACACACTGAATGTTCGGTCTTGTCGTTCACACACTGAATGTTCGGTCTTGTCATTCACACACTGAATGTTCGGTCTTGTCATTCACACACTGAATGTTCGGTCTTGTCATTCACACACTGAATGTTCGGTCTTGTCATTCACACACTGAATGTTCGGTCTTGTCATTCACACACTGAATGTTCGGTCTTGTCATTCACACACTGAATGTTCGGTCTTGTCATTCACACACTGAATGTTCGGTCTTGTCATTCACACACTGAATGTTCGGTCTTGTCATTCACACACTGAATGTTCGGTCTTGTCATTCACACACTGAATGTTCGGTCTTGTCATTCACACACTGAATGTTCGGTCTTGTCGTTCACAATGAAGGTTTGGTCTTGTCGTTCACAATGAAGGTTTGGTCTTGTCGTTCACACTGAAAGTAGAACTTACTCGTGTATATGTGGAAGGACTCGTGGATTTCGTCCGACAATGCGACACATATGACTGCAAGAATTTCAAATTCAACTAATGGTGTATCACTCTATCTAACTATTAACGTGAAGTCTTATCAAACTTTCACACTCAAGCGTTCGCTAAGTGCAAGTATGAACCAGTTGCAGCGACTAGCGCGGAACAGCGAGTTCGCTAACCCAAAAAGAGACAAATATGCCCTCGTTGGATGGTAGCAGATTTGTGCTTCGTATCCCATGCTTAACAACTCGATACATCTACCTGAATTTATCTGATGGGCCACTAACACTTTAATGGACTTGATAAGAACAGGAAGCCGGCGGTTTGTCAACGGGCCTTGATTTGTCGTCAGGACAAATGAGAGCAAAGGATACATTATGCAATACCCATTGTCAAGGCCAGGAAGCCTGTACTTAGACCTATTGAGGTCCCCCTCCCCCCCTCCTAAGCTAACTACTGACCCTCCGCAGAATGCTAACCACAACAGTTGCCTAACTCCGTCAACAGTCGTCTGCAGTAGAAACCAAAACAGCTTTACCAGGAATAGATAACCCACACCTTTCCTCTGACCAGCTCTGGATATTATCGCGCCAATGACCTCTTCCAGGCATGATAGTGACAGGGGAGGGGGGGGGGCGGGGTCACGTCCTTCCGAGCGTCCAGTTAACAGGGACCTGACTCCCTTTTTTAACCGGAAAGTACACATTATCCCATAGTGTTGGTGCGTGATATCATTCAGAGTCGCCCACTCTCTCCTGGACTCAGATGTATTACTCGTATGTTCGTTTCCCTGTGTGTGTGTGTGTGTGTGTGTGTGTGTGTGTGTGTGTGTGTGTGTGTGTGTGTGTGTGTGTGTGTGTACTCACCTAATAGAGTGAGTACACACACAGGGGGCGCTGGGGGTTGAGTGAACAGCATGCTGGGCACGTAATCCTGTGGACCGGGGTTCGATTCCCGGCGCCGGCGAGAAACAAAATGGACTGTGTGTGTGTGTGTACTCACCTAATTGTACTCACCTAATTGTGCTTGCGGGGGTTGAGCTCTGGCTCTTTGGTCCCGCCTCTCAACCGTCAATCAACTGGTGTACAGATTCCTGAGCCTATTGGGCTCTATCATATCTACATTTGAAACTGTGTATGGAGTCAGCCTCCACCACATCACTTCCTAATGCATTCCATTTACTAACTACTCTGACACTGAAAAAGTTCTTTCTAACGTCTCTGTGGCTCATTTGGGTACTCAGCTTCCACCTGTGTCCCCTTGTTCGCGTCCCACCAGTGTTGAATAGTTCATCCTTGTTTACCCGGTCGATTCCCCTGAGGATTTTGTAGGTTGTGATCATGTCCCCCCTTACTCTTCTGTCTTCCAGTGTCGTGAGGTGCATTTCCCGCAGCCTTTCCTCATAACTCATGCCTCTTAGTTCTGGGACTAGTCTAGTAGCATACCTTTGGACTTTTTCCAGCTTCGTCTTGTGCTTGACAAGGTACGGGCTCCATGCTGGGGCCGCATACTCCAGGATTGGTCTTACATATGTGGTGTACAAGATTCTGAATGATTCCTTACACAGGTTCCTGAACGCCGTTCTGATGTTAGCCAGCCTCGCATATGCCGCAGACGTTATTCTCTTTATGTGGGCTTCAGGAGACAGGTTTGGTGTGATATCAACTCCTAGATCTTTCTCTCTGTCTGTTTCATTAAGTACTTCATCTCCTATTCTGTATCCTGTGCCTGGCCTCCTGTTTCCACTGCCTAGTTTCATTACTTTGCATTTACTCGGGTTGAACTTCAACAGCCATTTGTTGGACCATTCACTCAGTCTATCCAGGTCATCTTGTAGCCTCCTACTATCATCCTCTGTTTCAATCCTCCTCATAATTTTTGCATCGTCGGCAAACATTGAGAGGAACGAATCTATACCCTCTGGGAGATCATTTACATATACCAGAAACAGTATAGGTCCAAGGACTGACCCCTGCGGGACTCCACTTGTGACGTCTCGCCAATCTGAGGCCTCACCCCTCACACAGACTCGTTGTCTCCTGTTGCTTAGGTATTCCTCTATCCACCGGAGTACCTTCCCTCTCACCCCAGCCTGCATCTCCAACTTTCGCACTAGCCTCTTGTGTGGTACTGTATCAAAGGCTTTCTGACAATCCAAAAATATGCAGTCTGCCCACCCTTCTCTTTCTTGCCTTATTTTTGTTGCCTGGTCGTAGAATTCAAGTAACCCTGTGAGGCAGGACCTGCCATCCCTGAACCCATGTTGATGCTGTGTTACAAAGTTCCTTCGCTCCAGATGCTCCACTAGTTTTTTTCGCACAATCTTCTCCATCAGCTTGCATGGTATGCAGGTTAGGGACACTGGCCTGTAGTTCAGTGCCTCCTGTCTATCCCCTTTCTTGTATATCGGGACTACGTTAGCTGCTTTCCAAATATCTGGCAGTTCCCCTGTTGCCAGTGATTTGTTATACACTATGGAGAGTGGTAGGCTCAGTTCTCTTGCTCCTTCCTTTAGAACCCAAGGGGAGATTCCATCTGGGCCTATAGCCTTCGTCACGTCCAACTCTAGTAAACACTTCCTTACTTCCCCACTGGTAATCTCAAACTCTTCCAGTGGTTCCTGGTTAGCTATTCCCTCACTTACCTCTGGAATTTCTCCTTGTTCTAAGGTGAAGACCTCCTGGAATTTCTTATTCAATTCCTCACACACTTCCTTGTCATTTGTAGTGAATCCTTCCGCCCCTATCCTTAATCTCATAACCTGTTCCTTTACTGTTGTTTTTCTCCTAATGTGGCTATGCAACAATTTAGGCTGAGTCTTTGCCTTGCTTGCGATGTCATTTTCGTATTGTCTTTCTGCCTCTCTTCTCATCCTGACATATTCATTCCTGGCATTCTGGTATCTTTCTCTGCTCTCCAGTGTCCTGTTATTCCTATAGTTTCTCCATGCCCTTTTACTTTGCTGCTTAGCTAGCCTACATCTTTGGTTAAACCATGGGTTTCTCATCTTCATTTCTCTGTTTTCCTTTTGGACTGGGACAAACTTGTTTGCTGCGTCCTTGCACTTCTGTGTGATGTAATCCATCATATCTTGGGCCGTCTTTCCCCTGAGCTCTGTTTCCCATGCTATATCTGTTAGGAATTTTCTTATCCCCTCATAGTTTCCCTTTCGGTATGCTAACCTTTGTGTGTGTGTGTGTGTGTGTGTGTGTTGGTCAAAGGTGTATGAATATAGGTTAGATGTGTGTATTTATAGGTTTGAGCTGTATGTGCATGGGTTAGAGATACACTTGTATAGATCAGAGATGTTTATATGTAGGGTAGAGGCGCCTGTCTCTAAATAGCTATACTAGACAATCACATTTACAATAATGATATTTCATCTCAGATCACACGCCACAGCTTCCACATCATTGATCTGTGATGGAGCCAGAGGGCGCATCCGGCCCCAAGATGACAACACAGTATCGCCACGACAAGTCTCAAGTGAAGACGCCATGTTTTTGTGTAGGGATTGGGAGGGGTGGGGGGAGGATGGTGGGGTAGGGGGGGTATTTGGGTGGGGAGGGGGTGTTTGGGAGTTGGGGGGGGGGGAGGTGAGGGGGAGTGTGGGGTGGAGTCTTTGAAGGAGGCTGAGGAGAAGAGCATCACCTTGAGTTATCCAAGTACCCAATTTGGAGGACCGGAAGGCAGTCCTCTCTGGAGGAAGGCAGCCATCTTGGTTCCATCTCGCTAACCCATGACAATGAACAATTACCCTCAACCCCTTCTCTATGGCAAGGAAGGAGCCTATAAATATTGAGAGAGGGCAGGAGGGTGGAGGAGCCAAAGGGACGTGTGGGAGAGAGAGAGAGAGAGAGAGAGAGAGAGAGAGAGAGAGAGAGAGAGAGAGAGAGAGAGAGAGAGAGAGAGAGAGAGAGAGAAGGAAGGGTGAAGACCTTCACCTTCATCTCAAGATGCCAGGGGTCGAGAGCAATATCCCAAGTTCCTCATCTTAGTATTTAGTCCAGAAAGATATTATAGAATTAAGGCTGTCGTCAAAAGGCACATGTTAACGCAGCCTGTTTCATTTATTACATTTACAATCGTTAGTTTGTCGTTATTTATAATATTTTCTTGTTAAACTCATATATGCTATATAGTCGTAATGGCTTGGCGCTTTACCCTGATAATTCCCTCCCTCAAATCACTATTTCATTCATTCATGGGTCGACTTGTTTAATAATTCATTAATGAAGGACAAGCAAGAGTCGACAAAAATAATTCTGTCACTGAAAGCCGGTTTAGGTTACTCAAAGAGTTCACATTTCCATCGAGGT